CCTAGATAATGCAGTGGGAGAGGTGTGGAGATCAGCCCCCTGTCTGACAACACCTCCTCTCACCGACCCTGGGCATCCTGACCAAGCCACCAGAGTATGCACATGAGACAGTTCCTGATTCCCTGGCCTTCGCCAAGACCTTAGTCAAGTCTATCTGCGGTGGCTTATTGGAATATTTCCTCCCAGCCCATGGTCCCCATCTTGCGATCCCCACTGTGCGTCTGGGGCTCCTGGGCAGTCTGTCTGCCACACCCAATGGTGCCCAGACACAGAGTACCCCCCCAGCAGTTCTGGTTAAAGATCCAATACCAAGGAGGACAGGGGTGGACTTGGCAGGGACTTCCACTGCCAGAAAGGAGAGCAGCCAAGGGAACCAATGATCGAGGATCAGTAGAGGTCACCTGAGCCACAGGTGAGGAGGAGTGGAGTCTCACGGAAACCTTAGCTGGGGAAGAAGGTTGCCTACTTCTCTAACTTCATCAGGCAGTGCCCCCAGTGCAGCACAAGAGTCTCCCCCCCCCACCCCCACACACATACACTGCTAGAACAGGGCAAGGAAACTGCTCTTGCTCTTGCCCCAGCTCCTCTCTTGCCCCAGGTCTGACCCTAGTTCTGATGTTAGAGGTCCCACAGATCCCCAATTCAGGCCCAAAACCTCCAGAAGTTCTGCCAACCCCCCATGTGTACACAGGCAGTGCTGGCCAGTGGTGCCTCTTACAGGGGCTTATGGAATATGTCTTGCATATGCCTCCTGTGCCTGCTCCTTCCCCAGTAGCCATAAGGTACCCGAGGTTGTCTCCCTGCTTGGCAGCTGCAGACCAAAGAGGGGAAAGAGGCCACAGAAAAGTGGCTCTGAGACCATGTAGAGACACAGCTCCCACCTGCCTGCCTCCAGGGCTGGTGTCTCCCCGTCTTTGCCTTTGAGGGTCACCTGGAATATCTCATTCATTTACAAATTGGGTCAATCATCTTTGTGGAGTGGGTGGGTACGTGAGATGGAGTGCACCTTAGGGGTCTGGGTCGCTGTTCTAGTGTCCATCGGTGGACTAGGAACTGAGCAGTGAGAACAGAGGGGGAAAGAGAAGGAGCCTGCCTGAAAGGATGCCTCTTCGTCCCCTGCGAAGGTTGAGCCCCGGCTGCCTGCTGGCCCTGCCGAGACTCCAAGGCTCCGGGTCTCATTCTAGGTTGGGCCCTGGTGCAGAATCGCTGACAGCAACAGAGAGGCTGGGGTTCAAGCTGCTCCCACTGTGGCGATGGGCTTTCTTCCAGACCCTGGGGTGGAGTCCAGGAAGGCTCTGGAGGCAACTCCTGAAACCAATCAGTGGGGTCACGTGAAGCCCAGCCCCTCTCTGTGCTTCTCTTCTTTACCTGGGGGACATGACAGGAGGGACTCAGGCTAGTTCTGCCCTTCCTCGCTCTGATTTCAGGAGAAAGAGTCACCAGTCCCCCACCTGCACTTCCAGGTGTTTCTCCCAGGGTTGCCGCCCTGGAGCCCATGTAGGAGCATATTTAACTTCAAGCTAGCTAGGACTAACGCTGGGGAGCGCTGGCACTGCGCGGCTAGTCCAGGGCACCGGAGGGCTCAAAGATCGGTGGGTTGTGGACCCGATAGAGACACTTGTCAGTGCGCAGGTCCTTCCAGGGCTGGGAACAGCATGGCACTGGCTAAATTCTGAGCGGCAGGCGCGGTACCCTGTTTTTACAATGGCCGGGAAGTGAGGAGTGGGGTCGGTGGGCATGAGGGCGCCTGTCCCACAGCTCCCCGGAGGGAACCACGTGTGCCCCGGGTAGGCGGAGCTGGGCAGCAACAAGCAGCCAAGATTCTCCAGGGGCCGCCTCCTGCACACGGAGGAGATAACTTCGGAAATTAGGCTTGCTTCACTTCCTACTCTGAGGATGTCCAGCCAGGGAGTGAGTGAGTCGGGGCGTCGGACTCCAGAGGCAGTGCTGGGGCCCAGCCAAGTGCCCTCGCTGGACAATGCGCAGGGCCCAGAGGGCAGAGCAAATGCTGTCCGTGTCCTTAGCCCATCCCACTCTTCCAGCCTCCTGCACTCATCCAAGCTTCTGCCCCCATCCCTGACCTGCGGGCTCCCAGTATCAAAGCCGAGCCTCGGTTTTAGAGTCTGTAAAATGGCCTCATCAGAGTCCCTACCTCGTTGCTCCCTGCTTGGAGAAATGCGGGTCGTGTCCTCACTCTACACGGTATGCGGAGGAGAGGACCGCGCAGCCCAGGCCCCAGCCTTGCGGGACGCCCTGAGAAGTCAGTCCCAGTGCAGCTTTCGACCCCCTGGTCTGCGCGAGGCCGGCTCCCGGCTAGGCCTCCTACCTCGCAGCAAAGGGAGGCGCGGCCGGCAGGGGGAGCGAGGCGGAAGGGAGCCGCCGCCGGTCCAGGTGAGTCGGGAGGCACACTTCTTGCCGGCGAGGTGCCGCGTTTGTTCTCGTGTGGAAGCGGCGTGTGTGGGGCGTAGGACCACCGGGTGAGTGTGCATCTTTCGAGCTGCGGACGGGCACTGGGAGTGGGGCGGCCGCGAGCAGAGAGGTGTGCAGGCGGGTTGCCGGGTGGCGGCGGAGCGCGGAGAAACGCTGAGACAGGGCGGTGCGGCGCCAGAGGGAGGGAAGGAGCGTTCGAGGGGCCCTGCCGGGCGCTCGGTGGAAGCTGCGGCTCAGCCGCGGGTTGGAGGCTTGGAGGCCTGGAGCTTCTAGGGCTTCAGGCCCCTTTGGGCCCCTTCAACCGAGGATTTCCGAAGGGTCCCCTTGTTGAGCTGCGGGTTTGAAGGGTCCCCGACTGAGTGAGTGGGTGAGTATCTGCGGCGGGTATGGTGGGTCAGCCACCAAGAAAGCTGCTGGAATGGGACCCTCACCCCTTCCCAGCGCTCTATTCCTCCTCAGTCTTTCCCCCACCCTTCGCTCAGGGCTCTGGCGAGTGTACAGATAAAGCTCACCCTCCAAGTCCTGCCCTTCACTGGAGGGTTAATGGGATAAGTTTGAGAGGACTGCTCCCCCACCACCTCCAGTAGGGAGGTCTGAAGACCTCAGGCGCCCTAAGGGGCTGACCTGGAGTCTCCAGGATGCCTCAGGGCTTTTCACTTTCACTTCTTCCTCTCAGTGTTGGACTTCATGGGGCTCATATCTGGGCTCTGCCTCTGGTGCACACACTGGGACTGCTCTCTCAGGTGCACTGGACGCAAACTTGGGCACTCCACATGCTGGGGCCTCACCTCATGTCCACACACAGGGTCTCTCCTCCCAGCTTGCAAGCCCATGGCTTCTCTACCCAAAGACCTCTAGTGCTGGCCAAGCCTCTCATCTCACTACCTCGACCTGTACCCATCAACACTTTTCCCACCGGTCTATAGCAGGCTCTCTCCCTCCATCAGGGGAGCACCTCCTTGGGGTCCTGGAGGCAAGGGGCTGGTCCTGCTCAAGGAAGAAGGAAGTGTAACTACACTCCTCATTGAGCCTGGCCCCTCCACCCTCTCAAAGACAGTCACTAAGTGACACAGGTCACTGTCAATGTTGGGGTCCTGAATGGCCACTCAAGGCCTGAAGAATGCCCTGGTGACAAGTTCTGTTTCCTGTCCTAGTCTAAAAGGTTCCAGCTGCAGGCCAAGAGCAGGCTGGGGGCCCACTGGACACACACAGATACATACCACATCCCAGACACACAGTACCACCTATACACTCACCTCAGCACTTCTGGTCTCTTGCTCCTTCTTGGACTTCTGGCTAGAGATAGTCCTCTGCCCAGTCCCCTAGTCCCCAGTTCTCATGCCTTCCTGGCTCCCAGCTAGAACCCTCTGCAGCCTGGGATCTGAGGCTCTGGGATTGTAGTAGCACCAGGAGAGGCTGCCTCCCCACCACCAATCCAAAGCAGGTGAAGCCAGAGGCCTACAAGGTCGCCGGTAGAAAGGCCTTGGAAATAGAGGCCTTGGTTGCCAGCAAAGGGAGAGGGAGGCTTCTGAGATGTAGAGAGGTTACAGGCTTGACACCCTGGCCAAACCCTGAAAGAAGGACATGGACATGTTGAATTGGTCAGAGAAAGCCCCAGAGATAGTAGGTGGGGGAAAGACAGGCCAAGTCAGGCCTTGGCATCAGGATGCCTGAGCCTACAGGCCCTGGGTCTGAAGGCCTAGTTGGGCAGCTGGTCCTTCCCTGGTGGGCAGGCTGGCTGAGGGGTGGCAAGCGGGCAGCACCCGACTGTGCAGCCTGAACTTCTCCAACATGTCCTCTTCTCCCTAGCTGGCCAGGCCCCGCCCCCGGCCCTCCCTGCACCCGGGCCGGTGCGCGGGGAGGTCGGAGGAGCGGGCACTGCCCACCCTCCGGATGTAAAAGCGTCCTGGCCAGAGGCGGGCGGTGCGCGAGGGAGCGCATGACGCTCAGGCTCCCGGGCTGCTTACGGCCTGGGCGTCGTCCCCCAGCTCGGGTCCCCAGCTGCGACAGCGAGGTGACCTAAGGGGTCTGTGGGACATTTGCTGGGCTGGGTCCTGTCCCATCGCAAGAAGGAACAGAGGAATCCGCAGCCCCAAGGCTATCTGTCCTCTGTCCGTGGCTGGTGGCTGGCGGTGTGCAAACCCGAGCTGCTGTCTCCTCACCCAGGTGCAGGGGCAGCCGGGGAGGAGGTGGAGGCGGGAAGGGCCATGGTAGGGGTAGGGCTGGGCTCCAGCTACCCCTCGGAGCTGCATCAGCTCCTTGCCACCTCAGGTTGTGGCTGGGTGCTCCCGGCATAGTGGCCTCTCCTCTAGGGCTGTAGAAGCTGAAGGCTTAGCCAAACCTAAGGAAGCCGGGTCAGGGCAGGAGCAAAGGGATGTTCAAGGGGCATTGGTCACTGAGGGCCCTGGAAGCGGAGGTGCGGAGGTGCGGGGCAGATAGCCTGAAAACCAGGAGGGCCCCGAACTTCCAGGGTGTTCCACCGGTTTGGGCCCCTGGACCGATACTGGACCTGAGTGGGGGGCCCATGACGCCATAATCCCTTGGGCCTGGGGCCGCGGCTTTGAGTGGCACCGCAGGCCTCCGCCCCTGGGGCTCCGTGGGCTGGGCTGGGCGCTGTGCGAAGGGGCACACGCAGTCGGAGGCGGCGCCGGCCAGGCCGCCGGGCGCCTATGGACGCGCGCAGCCCGCTGTCTCCCCGGGCCAGTGCGTTCAGCATCGCCTCTCTGGTTGCAGCCGAGGCCTCGGAGGGCACCGCCCACCGGGGCCCCGGGTCCTCTGACCAGGCGAAGCTTCCCTGGCTATCGAGATCCCCCGCCGGGATGCACTTCAGCACAGTCACCAGGGACATGGAAGGTGAGCCTCCTAGCCGCGTCAACACTGGCCTGCGTCAGCCCCCTGCCCCGGCTGCCTGAAACCTCACCGCGAATAGGAGCTCCTGGCGGGTGGGTTCCATGCTCACGGCTAGGACTCTGGGGCAGGCAGGAAGGCCTGGCATTCCCCCTAAAGCCTATCCACAAACCAGTCTGGGGACGCAGTCCCGGAGACTGGTACGAAGCTAGACAGGCCCGGAAGAGGGAGACTGGAGGCCAGGGAGAGAACAGAGGCAAGGCGGCCGTAAGCCTGGAGACCTGGGAGGAGAGATGGTAAAAGAGACCGTCAGAGTGTCAGGGAACACACACAGAAAGGTGGAAAAACAAAAACCAAATCAAGCAACTAAACAAAAAATGGTGAGGGCAGCCAAGAGGAAAAGAAATTGAGAAAAGGGGAAAAACAGAAAATCCAATAAGATAGGATAGAAAAAAAGAAAGGCACGAAAAAGAAATAGCAAGAACGAAAAAGAGAAAACGAAGGAAAAATTGAAGACAGAGTAATTTTTTAAAAAAGAACAAAAGAGACTTTTGTTTTATTTTATTTTTCTTTTATTTTTGTTTTAAAAAGAAGAAAATAACATGAATAAGAGAACATGTAGAAATAAAAGAAAAACGGTAAAGGGAAAGAAAGACAAAGAGTGATGAAAAATAAAGTGGAAAGAAAGGACAGGCACATAGAAAAAAGAGGAGACAGAAAGTTAAACAGAACGAACGAGAAACTAAGGAGATACTGGAAGAAGGGAAGATGATTAGGAAAATGTTAAATAAGGGAGACAAA